ATCTAGTGCGATAGTTGTTGTTAATTTCTTTTGACAACAACAGCGAAAGTTGGCGCGTCGATGTTGATGACAGTTGATTGTTAAGCTTTTGCTAGATTTAATATTACGTTATATTATATTATATTATATTATTTCGCTTACCGATAGTAAGGCTTAGCATGCACACACATCATAAACCGATCAATGTGTGTGCTGGGTATATACTGTATACATACATATATTTAGAATAAGCATAGATATATGTATATGTATATGTATATGCAAAGGTATATGTATAGGTATATGTATATGGATGACTCGCAATAAAAACTATTAAAAGGATGCACACGTATTAAATTAAACAATAAGTAAAATGATAACCGTTTTTGCTGTCATTAAAAATAACATTGCAGATGCCTCCATCGTGAATTTCATATATCTGGCATTTCAGTATGAATTCACCCCGCCCTCTCCCGCCCCACGCCCCATTATCCCCGTGACCCCCACAAATTCTATATCCTTGTGACCAAGGCTCAAAGCTGCTCCTGTTCCAACTGTTTTTACTCGTCTTGTTGTCTCGCTGTCTTTTTCCGTTCGGCCTTGCGCTCATCGAGAATCGCCTGCTGCTCCATCCTACGTCGTTTCGTGTCAATTGGACTTACGGCGTTGTCATCGAAATCCAACACTCGCTTTCCAGAGCCAAGCACAATTTTGTTCATATAGTCCAGTTTCTGTAAGAGATTCGATGATAGCGACGCATTTCGATGGCTGCGACAGTCTGCTTACCTTGGACGGGCTTGAGCTGATCACGTAGACAAGCTGATCCGGCGACTGCTGCATCTCATTCTTAGACATTTGTTTGACGTAAAGCGAGTGGTTGTGTATCAGCTTCCTGGGCACCATTGGCCGCTCAGTGGGGTGTGGCGACATCAGGAGATTTACATTTTTCTGAAAGCCAAATATTCCAATAGTGATTCAAATGATCCAATAGCACGGGATTCATACAGTCAACATACATCACCATTCTTAGCAAGATAATTGGTGCAGAAGTTTTTCATCTCCGGCACATATGTAAAGTTGTAAAAATGGATAATATCTTTATGCTCATATTCGCCGTTCTCATTGACTTTGATGAGCACCTCACGATAGACACTATTTACCGCCTGCGGCTGGTTCCGATACGCCTTCATAATGTCACTAAATTTGGGTCCCTCCATGTTCGTTACCTGAAATCGACGACGTCGACAGGAACATTCAGATAATAATAAGAGCCAGCATGAAAGTGAAGAGAGGTGTTACAATAGAGATATCTCTTAGAGTCATATCTGATTGATGATGATGTGAACTGTGATTACTTACTCTTATATAAATATATATTGCACACATGATTATTTGGTCGAGATGGCGATCTTTCATTAGATCAGTTTTGTGTGTGATCGAATGATCAAATATTGTCCAGATCTCAGACTGCTTCTCGCCGAGGCTTAGCTCGGAGCAAAGTTTTCCGATACGCAGCCAACCAAGCAGAAGGATTTTGCGCAGAAATATCTGTAGTTGGTCAGCTGCCTTGTCAGCGTTCACCTCACTCCAACCGGGCAGCGGTTTGGGCGCATGGTCTATCATCTCCCAAAATGGCGAATTGCGCTTCCATACCAATCGCTCTAGGCATGTCTCCTCGATGGAATTAAGATGCTTGACCAGACTGCGTGTAAGGCAGCCCTCCGGTGTGCCATGGATGCCATTGCGTACAACAATTTCGATGATCTTATTAAATTGGAAAGCGTTAATACTGAAACAATCCAGAATCCAGGGGAACTTCAGCTCCGTGGTGTAGGCCTCGAGCACCAGCTCTGTGCAGCAGGCCATCAGCGTCCTAATGCAGATGTCCAATGAGATCTTGTGCACGATCTGTGGCTTAGTCGTAATCTCGTCACGGAGTATAGGATCGATCAGGTAGAAGTAAAGCGATTTGGCCATACGAAATCGATTTCTAGCCTCGCTACGCATCGGAAATTTTTCCACAAACTGCTCTTCCATTTCTCCAATTGTTTGCAGCATCTTAGCAATGGCCGCTTCGCCAGCCTGTCTTCTATAGAGATCATGTTATATTTGTATGAATGAGACACTAAATTGGAGCTGCTTTGAGTAACCTACTTGACAAAGTCGGTGGGCTCGGTTATGTGACTGACTGTGGCGCTCAGTTTCTTTACATTGTTTGTGGCATTGGCCACCGGCTCGAACTTCTGCTCGAACATGACGGGCTGCGCGGGCAGGTCCTGTTTGCGTGTCAACGGCGTCACGGGTTGACGGAGCGCCTGTTCGTTAAGATTGTTGTGCTCGCTAGCGTCGTGCTGATAGGCGCCAAGAATGCGTTCGTCGAACTCGCCGACGCTTAAGACATACTGCTCATAGCTGATATTCAGAGACTTAAAGTTTCGCTCAAAGTTCTTGTTCGATATCAAGCCGAGCAGCGTCTCCTTATTACCCACGACGGTCTGTGGATTCATTAGAGATTATTTGACAGTTACAATATGACAAGTTGTCAAAATGACAGTGTGTTGACTGCATTACATTCGTCTGAAAAAAGCTGTCCATAATGTTCCTAAAGACGGTCGCCTTCATATCTTTGGCTTCGTCGGTCATCTCGCAGAAGTAGGCAAGTATACAGTGATTTCGGGCTTGGGTCTCGTCAAAGTCCGGCGAGTTCCAATTGGATGGCAAACCCTCAAATTTCGGATTGATGAGATCAGTGCGTTTCTCGGCCAGCACATTGGCGTAGATGAGATCAATGCAGCACATCATTAGATTGTACGATGTGACCAGATCAAGGGTCGTTGTTGGCTTCTGATTCTTGGCGCACAGAAACAGACGCCAGCAGATATCGTCCAGCTTGATATAGGAGCATTTGCTATTGACACGTCGTTGAACAAATGGCATTACTTTAAATGGAACAAAGAGCACAAATGCGTGCATACCTGTTCTTCGAGTGATTCTTTTCGTTGGGCGGACATAAAAAGACTTGATCAAAGATATCTCTGTACTTCTTGTAGATCGTGAATGTGATGCTAAATTTGCGCTCCAGCTCCTCCATTTGCTGTGCAAAGGTGTGGGGCATATTTGCCATGTCGCACCACAGTTTGATCTTCTTCTTGAACTCGTAGATGCTGCAAGTGTAAATGTATATGTATATATAGAGAGAGAGCGAGAGAGAGAGAGAGAGAGTGTCAGAGGGAGAGTGTAGAGAAAAAGTGGGCCAGTGATTAATTATGATAACAACATAGCTACTTACATACATAAATATGTATTAAACTACGCACCTCATTTGACAGCAACGCAGCAAATTGTTCAATGGCACACAATTCCCCATTACGACTGCATTTTGGCCACCCACAGTGGGCGTGGTCGATTGACGGCAGGCCACGAATAGAGCGCAACAGAACCAATGCAAGATCTCCCCCTGCAATGCAAAACAATATACATAAATACGTGCGCATGTATGTGTGAGTGTGAGTGAGTGTACAAGGGAACCGTGCGGGTGGCTGTCTGCATGTGTATGTGTGTGTTTTGTGCGACATGGGCATATCTGCGTTTTTGTATGGATTTCAGACCAGTGACCATTACGTACGCACCTCTAGTGAGTAGTGCTTGAGCACTTCTTTGAGCATTTTGAAAGCCTCGGATTCGGTTTTGATATCCATATTTAGGTCACGGCAGAGACTCTCAAATTTTTGGCGCATCGGTTCGAAGTAGTCGTCCATTGTGGCGCCAGCGCTGGTCACAACTTCAGCACCGACCTCCTGCTCATGCACATCGTTGCTCATTGTTGTTGTTGTTGCTGTTGCTGTTGTCGTTATGGTGTCGTCGTCGAGTTTAGCTTAAACGCAACTGTAAATGCGACTTGTTCACTAATTCTGCTTTTTTTTCTGGGCTAGAAATAAAATGTTGCTGCTGACGGCAGCAACAGCAGCGGGTGCGGCCGCGGAATCAACTTGGAAAATGAGCGCGCGACAGCAACAACAACAACAACAAAGACGAAAACGTCGACGATACTTTTCACTTTGCTACAGCGCAACGGGCGCATCGAGTTTGCTGAATATTCGTTCGAAACGCGATTTATTGTTGCTCAATGCGTTTTCTGTTTTTGCTATTAGTTGCGTTGGTGGTGATGTTTGACTATCATGAGGGCAGCACTCTACGACGTATATAATTGTGTGTAGATTTTCCTAAAATAAAAAGGCGGGAAGACTTGGTGTTGCCAGACAAATTTGTAAAGTGCGCGCTGAATTTGTTTTGGCGCCAAATGCAGAATTTAAGATTTTACATACAAAATACTGCCATTAAGACAATATAGCATGTAATGGTACTATTTTGTCAGTACATTATATTTGGAGACCATTAAAATTAAAATAATTATTTTCAAAAAGTGGCAGCACTACACCACATAATGACAGCTGTGCTCCAGAGATGGCGGTAACAATAGCGCGAACAGCTGTCTGAAAGGCCAATTTATGTGCTAATCAGGTTCAGCAGGTTCTCAGTGGCGTAAGTTTGAATATATATGTATGATGTGGCGGTTGCCATACCAAACAATTTGTACTAAATCCATGGTCATATTCAGTTGAAAAACTTACATTACGATTACTTACCAGCTTAATTGATTATGAACCAAAATAAACTATTGCTTATGACTGTCTTATTGGTTATCGAAATTGAGTTTATAATTTCCAATAACTTGAAATATACACAAATAACGGGATTCGGAATCTAAGCTTTGTAACCATTTTTCCTTCCCTACTTTCCGTTGGAAACTAGCGGTCTATGGCTGAATGCTACAAAATGTTTTATACGCACGAGACGGTCAGCTTTTGTCCGCCAACGCAGCTTCAACAGTTTTTTGAACGCCTCCCGCTTCTGTAGCCAAACAAATTGGCTCAGTGTGTGTATATATGTAAGTAAGTGTGCTGCTCCCATATACACAAAAAACAATTGCATTTGTGTTACATTATGTTTTATAAATATGCTTTTATTATATTATTAATTTGTTTTGCAAGTTGTTTAATTATTTTTGGCAACATGTTAACAAAAATATTTTATCGAAATAAACATGTAGATGGTATCATTTAGGTGTGCGATCTGTTTTTGTGTGTGGAATGCTTGGGTTATATTTTTGTTATTTAATGTACATTGTTTTTTTTTTTTGTTTTTTGTTTTTTTGGTGGGTTTTCTATAATGCGATCATTAATTGATTTGCAGTCGCGCGATAAATGTCGTTGTGCATTTGATATGGTTAGTTTGAAGTTTACTTTTAGATAGTTTAATTCCTTTGCATTGGCAACGTTCCATATGCAATAATATAGTAGTAGTTGTAGTAGTTAGTAGTAGTAGTTAGTAGTAGTATTAGTAGTAGTAGTACACTGTGTATAATATTGTTGTGGTTGGGCTGTATTAGACGGTAAGCATGTGGAATGTATTGGGCGGTTGGCTGTCTGTCTATCTGTCTGCTTCGACAGCAAGTGAATGGACGACTCTATGAGTAGTGAACTACGAAATACAGATATATAAGTACATACACATATAATGCTATCAAAGTCAAGGATCTTATCGTATTGCATTTATGCAGCGCCTGCTGCTTCATAAACCAATTGAATTTCAATATCTTCTCGATCATATTTAGTTGTTTTATTGTTTACAAAATTTGTAAATGCATATGCTTTTGATTTACATTCACGTGTAAATGTTGTTGTTCTTTACAAAATGTGGGCTTTTGT